AAGGCAGGCGAGATTACCTCACAAGCCCGCTTCCGGGTCAGCATACGTCGCAAGTTGAGCCTATGTTCCATTCGAGAAATGGCGGTTGATCTAAATTCCTTTATCTGCAAACGGCCATTCTTCGCGAATAAACAATTACAGTTCTGTCAGGTGCGATGGATGACACGCACAAATCATAGAAGTGCACCTGTATACCGCAGGCATTTTGGTTTGGAAAAGTGGCGCGGTTCTCAAGGGTTATGAGCCCAACCAACGAACCCTAAGGCGCTATGATGTCGAGATCCCTTTCGGTGCCTAGCAGCAGCAGGGATCATGCAGCAGCTGATGGAACTGGCACGAACCCGTTCTACAGTGAGCGGCTGCAGCAGGAGATAGCGCTTCATGAAAGAAGGCCAAAGCATCTTCCTGCAGATGATGAAGGGCGAGTTCCGCCAGTGCAAGATGGAAGGCCACCAACTGGGAAGGGTCGTGGCGGGGATGGAACTGGTTTGTTTGCAACACCCCCAAGCCTGGAAAGACCTACAGTGTTTGGCCAGCAACCAACTGGGATGCAATCTCAAGGGGCTATGCCAATGGAAACTCCACCAACGGTTCAACAAACTATGGGAGCTATGCATGGTTCTGAGAGACATGAAGAAGTTGGTATGCATGTGAAAAATGTGGGCAGTGTTCGCCCGGCAGTGGATGAACTGCAGCGAGACCTCGAAGTTGAGCTGGTAGACTTTTTGCGTCAACAGAACGCGCAGCTGATGACGCAGGTGTCTGATTTGAAAACGGCCTTGGAAGCTCGAGGTGATCAAGCTTCTGCAGGTTCGTCACCATGGTCAACCGTGGTGGAAGGTGAATCGTTTGGAAAGCGGTCGGCGATGGGTGCAAAAAGGTGGTCAAGTAGGTCCCCAAGACCAACTAGAAAGCAGGGTCATGGAAGTCCTGTCAAGCTAGCTGGGGATGGGCGTGTGAAAAAAGATGACAAGTTGCAGTGTACCCCCAATGGAACACGAATTCCTGATGGGCCTCCACCAATGGATGATGTTGTTCGCATGCCTTCATGTCCACCACCACCTGTGCCTCCGTTTCCAATTCCGCACACTGCGGATGCTGTGTCTGATATGACGGAAAAGATGGACCTCAAAGCCTATGAAGTCTGCCAGGACGGGCCACTGCGTGGAAGAATGGGTGATCCGGGTTGGAAGCCCACAAATGAAAAGTCTCTCTCACCCCAAGACGCGAAAAGTGCATGGTTGGAGAGAGAGGTGAACTCTTTGAAAAAGGTTTTGGAAAAAGTAGCAACTGATGGAAACAGTTTTGAAATTTCCAAAGCATGGCCATTGAAAGAGGGTCAACAGTTTTGGTCGTCTGGAATGCCACCGATGCCTGTCGAAGCACCGTCACTGGAGCAGCGGCGTTTGTTGCATGGTGAACTTGTTCATGGAGATCGGGCTTCTTTGCAGGGCGCTTCAACACTGCATGGCACTGTGCTTGGTGAACCTCAACTTCAAGCTCGGGCTTTGCATGGCGTTGGGCAGAGTGTGCATGGCGATGGAGCTCTTCATGATCGGGCATTGCATGGTGCTGCGCTTGGCGATGGAGCTCTTCATGGTCGGGCTTTGCATGGCACGGTTCTTGGCGATGGAGCTCTTCAAGGTCGGGCTTTGCATGGCACGGTTCTTGGTGATGGAGCACTTCATGATCGGGCTTTGCATGGGCTACGGCGATCCCTGGGCTTCAAGATCCTCTTCAACAAGGGCATCCTCTTCAAGGAGCACAAGGGCAAGGAACTATGGGTGTTGCACCAATGCCAACATCATGGGAATCTGCTGGTGGAGGTAGTGGCGGAAAGTTGGAGTTGCCAACGTTGCCAAATGGTGCCTCGCCTTTGGAATTTGGAGATTGGCTTTGTCTTTGTGGGCCAATCATGAAAGACCTATCTCATGTCGCTGGAAGATGGTGGGATTCAACGGTGCGGCAAGCACATGCCTTCTACACGGAATGGAAGGGTCTATCTCCTCTTCAGCGAGTTCAACTATGTCCTCGTCTTCCTGATGAACTGATGGTAAGTAGCTTCATCAGAACGGAGCAGAGGGGCGTCACTTTGTTGCTCAAGGCGGTGAGCGAGGAGCAGCAGAAGGAGTTGGTGGTGGATCGAGATTTGACCAGTACGGCAATTTTGTTCCGTCTCTATGTGCGGCATCAACCAGGAGGACCAGGTGAAAAGGCAATCCTCTTGGGGCAATTGACCTCACTGCAAAAGGCATCTACGATGCAGGACTTGGCTTCGTCTCTGAGAACATGGCGGCGATACTTTGCAAGGGCTAGGGAGGTGGATGCAAACTTGCCTGATGGAGTGCTGCTGATAAAAGCACTTGAAGCTGCGGTTGTCCAGATCGCCAAGGAAGATGCCCAAGCAGCGTTCAGGCTTTCCACAAGCCGACAACAACTTGCACTGGATCAACGTCCTACGGAGCAGTCCATTTGGAGCTTCAGTCAGTGTTTGTTGGCTGAGGCAGAAACTTTGAGCTTGCTGAAGTCCTCTTCTACGACGTCTACAAGTGCCAAGCAAATGGATGCCGAAGCATCCAACTCACCTCAAAAGCCAGGCACTCCTGGCAACTATGGCAAGTCTGGCAAAGGAGTGTCAACCCCTATGGCGGAGCAACCATGCAAGTTTTTCAAGAGTGATGGTGGATGCAAGGCTGGCAAAAACTGCAAGTGGTCTCACAGTTGGGACAACATAGAGGACAAAGGTAGTAGATGCTGGATATGCGGCTCCAAGGAGCACAGAAGGACAGAATGCCGTGTCAAGGGTTCTGGAAACAAACCTTCGTCCAATGACTCTGGTTTGGGGGGAGGACGTGGAAATCAAAATGCAGCTGCAGCAAACAACAAAGCGGCTGTCAAGCAAGCTTCAGTTGGAAAAGGTCATGATGGTGGAGTTGCAAGCTCAACAACTGATCAAACCTCTTCTAGTACAAGCGCTGATGGTCCAGGACTGGGTGCTGAGAGTAACTCCCTTGGGACTTCATCTAGTGCAACCTCGGAGGTGGATAAGGGGGGAGCTCCAGCTGCCACTCCTGCGACCACTGAACTGTTGGCAGAAGCCACTCAGTTGCTGAAGTCTTTGCGTATGCCCAACCTGAAGGTGATGCGACTGTCAAACCTGCAGCCTCATGCTCAAATGGTGTTGCTGGACTCTGGTGCAACACATGGTCTACGTCCTGCAGTTTCAGAAGAAGAATGGCAGTCGGGCACAAGAACTCAGGTGATGTTGGCTGATGGTGTCACAGAAAGCCTCCGTTTGAAGCCTGGCACCAAAGTTTTGCTTTCAGATCCTCTCCTTCGGCCTGAAAATACCTCTTGGATCGTTCCAATGGGATGCTTGAACGAGCTCAACTACAAGTTGGTGTGGAAGGACCACATGTGCCATCTCTACACAAAAGCTGGAGAAAAGATTGATGTGGAACTTCACAATGGATGTCCCTACGTTGCTCATGAATTTGGAGCAAAGCTGCTGACGGTGTTGGAACAGCATCAAATTCAACAAGAGCTGAAAAAGATGACCTTGAAGTCTATCTTGACAAGAGGGGCTGCCGGTCTTGGCAACAACATGAGCATTGAAATGGCGATGCTTGTCAAGCTCAAGGAGGTCATGCCGACTTTGCCTGAAGATTTGGCGTTGAAGCTGGTCCCAGATCTTTCAGTGCTCACGGACCCAAACATCGGCTTGAACATTCCATGGAATCGCAGAAAGCGAAAAAGACTCATGATGGCAAAGAATGTGATCATCCACATGTACAGTGGACCTGATGCTTCTTACTGGGAGCGGCGTTTGTCAAATGAGCACACTGAGGTGCTGTGCGTGCACTTGGAAGCCTCAACACCTTCAAATGCTTTGGATGAAACAACCTTTGCGTTTTTGCTTTCCTTGTGCGCCAGCAAACGTGTTAAAGCTCTACTTGGTGGTCCTCCATGCAGAACAACAAGTGCTCTCAGGTTTCAAAAAGATGATGGTCCACCAATTCTTCGAACAGAAGATCACCCATATGGTTTGCCATCATTGACTCCACAACAAGCTGAATTGGTCACCAATGACTCAATTCTGTGGCTTCGGTTGATGCTGATGTACATCCTCTGCGAAGAAGTGCGTCCAAAAGAACAAGCTCAAAGTGCATTTCTTTGTGAACAGCCTCAAGACCCAGCGGAATACCGCAAGAAGGAGGATGTGGATGAGCACCAGTACTTTTCAATGTGGAGAACTCAGGAATGGAAAAGCTTCCAAGAAGCCTACAACGCCAAGCTGATCTCCTTTGATCAAGGGCCTTTTGGACACCCAAAACGAAAGCCAACCACTTTGGCCTTGATCAACATGAATGAGATGATGCAGCTACAAGATGTGCGAGGTCGTGGAGCTGAACCTGAAGTTGCTCCGCTACCAGAACTCAGCGTGAAAGAAAGATGTGCTATGTCAAAAACTTGGGCGGCTTGGGCACCTGGTTTGAAGGCTGCAGTTGCTGAAGCAATCAGCAGATGGATTCGCCGTGAAGCGCCTCCACGTGAAGGACCTGAAGATCATACTGGCGTTGTTTACGCCGATGACGATGTCCGACCTGTTGGTGTCGCTGCAATTGGAAATGTTGCCCTTCAACAATGGAAGCAACACTACATGCAGGACCACATGCCGGCCCGTCGAGATTGCAGCCACTGTGTACGTGCTCAAGGTCGCAGTCGAGCACATCGCCGAGTTTGTCATCCTGAAAGCTTCACTTTGAGCTTGGACATGTCTGGTCGGATGACTGGTGGCAAGGACCAAACTCCTGGTACCAACAAATACTTCTTGGTTGGAGTTTACACATACCCCGTCAACAAAAAGGGGAAACCACTCTTGCTGCGGCCTGACCAAGATGAAGAGGAAGATCACCCATTGCCTGGCCTTGATGACCCTGAACTCTCTGGTGATCCTCAAGAACAACAACCTGGAGATGGTCAACCACCTCAACAACATGTTGAACGAGATCAACAACAAGCGAGCCATGAAGCTCAACATGAACAAGGTCTTCCTGCAGGTGTTGCACAAGATGAACCTGATCCTCTCCAAGAAGAATCGGTTCCTGACCTTGTGGAAGATGAAGACGTGAAGTCAGCCTATGGAATGCACGACACTTGGACGCGTCTCATCAATGAGTCCAAGGATGTCACTGTGCGCAACCTCACTTTTGCAGAGCCCATTGCAGATCGAAATGTGCACAACGTGCTGCCAGCGATCGCCAAGATCTATGCTCGTTTGCGCTCTTTGGGTTGCCCTGTGTACCGAATGCACAGCGACCGTGCACGTGAATTTTTGGCAAAACCTGTCCATCAATGGTGTCTTGACCGTGGAATAGTTCAAACTATGACACCTGGCAGTGCTTTCAAAACAAATGGCAGAGCTGAAAACGAAGTTGGGATGATCAAAAAAGGTGTCCGCACTTTGATCTCTGCTGGAGCATGCCCTTTGGACAGATGGCCTCTTGCGGTGCGACATGTTGGAGAAAGACGTCTCCGCAATCAACTCAACCAAGCAGGCTGGCCAGTTGGAAAACTTTTGAGGTTTGGCTCAAAAGCCTATGCCCTCAAGAAAAGCTGGCAAGATCGCTACGCTCAATGGCGTGATTGCCGAGAAGAAGTTGTGGTGTGGGGCCCCGCTGAAGGATCTTCTATAACCACCACAACATACTATGTCAAAGCAATTGCAACGGAAAGGTGCTTCTACACTGATGATGTGGTGATTCCTGCGGATGATGGCATGAATGCAGCTGTCGATGCTGGTCCCGGGGGAGAAGTTTTGCCATATCTCCCTGAACGTGATGAAAGACAAGCTCAACCGCTTTTTTGTGATGGTGTGCCAGCACGAAGATTGAGATCAAAGACAGCTCCGCCTCCAGCAATTGCCACTATGTCAATGTTGCACATTGAGGGGGAGAAGCGCATCCTTGCAAAGTTTGGCAGTGTGTTTGAGTTTGCGCTGCCGCCTGACAATGAAGTTGCCTCTGAAGGTTCATGGACTTTGGAAACAACGCTTTCTCCAGCACAACAACATCCACCTCAAGAACAACAAGAGGTTCATGATGCTCCGCGACCAGGGCATGATGATGAAAAGGATGGTGATGGGGGGCAAACAGAAACTGATGAAGTTCATGATCAAAAGGAGGAGGAAAGTGATGTGGAGGAGGATTTGGGGGAGGCGCCTAACAGCAGAGACGGTGGCTCAAGCTCTGCGGCCTCAAATGTATCAAAAAATGTTCTGGTTAGAATGTCAAAGATACAAGCCCTCCAAACCATCCACGACAATGTCTCGGACTATATAGCCGAGGAGATCTGCAAGCTTGATGGCACCTTCCCTGAACAAATGTGGTGTCTCCCTGAGCTCAACAAAGCTCTGGTCAAAAAGGTTGAAGTTGAAGAACAAATCCAACTGCTTGCGGATGAAGATCGAGTTGAAGAACAACAACAGCTTACTCATGAGTTTTTGGTCACCAAAACGGTCAGCAACAAAGAGGTTCGTGAAAACCTTGCCGACTGGACTGAATCCATCAAGGCTGAGTACGAGCAGCTTGTCGTCAACAAAAAAGCTGTCAAACCAATGACAAGAACGGAACTCCAAAAAATGGCTGAAGTGCAGAACAAAACTTTGGAGATCCTTCCAGCAAAAATGGTTCACACAAGAAAAGCTGGAACAGGAGCATATCGCTCCAGAGCAGTGGTGTGTGGAAACTACCAGACACCAAATGACGACAACACGTACGCTGGAGGTGCTGATGCAACACAGATCCGAACAATGCTAAGGATCAGTGCTCAGTACAAGTGGAAAGCTGCTTCAACTGACATACGAACGGCGTTCCTCAATGCGCCGAGAAGAGACTCCAGACTCATAGCTATGGAAGTGCCGCATGTGTACAAAATGTTGGGCCTGGCTGGACCTGATGAAGTTTGGCTCATCATGCTTGCAATGTACGGACTCCAGGCTTCACCAAGGGACTGGTGTCTTCACCGTGATGCAGTTTTGCCAACACTGAAATGGACAAGGCAAGGTCCAAAGGTCGCTGACTGGAAGTTTTGAGAAAACAAAAGATGAAAATGTTTGGCGCTTGGAAGAACTGGATGAATCTGGCTTCATCCACTGGAATGGCCTCATGTCGGTGTATGTGGACGACATCTTGGTCACTGGTGAAGAGTTTGCAGTTCATGGCGCTTTACAAGCTCTTTCTGGAGTGTGGACAACGTCTTCTGTGGAGTGGGCTGGTGTTGACAAGCCTCTCAAGTACTGCGGTTTTGAGATTTCTGAAGATGCCAAAGGCGATGGTTTTCATGTCAACCAGCACATGTATGAGCAGGAGATGTTGCAACGTTGGAATGTTGATGAAGGAGTTGAATATCCTCACTACAAAGTTGCTGAGGATCAAGAAGTTGAAGAAAGCCCTGACCCAAATGATGTCAGGACAGCTCAAGCTATGGCTGGTTCTTTGCTGTGGTTGAGTTCCCGAACACGACCTGACCTTGCTCATGGAGTTGCAACAATGAGCAGGCTTATGACAAAGGCTCCTGTCAAAGCCATCCAGATCGGCACAACGTTGATGAAATACGTCAAGGGAAACCCTGGCGTTGGTTTGAGGTACACAACACATGTTCCTGATGACTGGGGTGCCCATGGCCAGCTGAAGGTGAAAAGAAGTGACCTGCTCCTGGAGATCTTCTGCGATATCGCCTACTCAGCAGGTTCTGGCCATAGAAGCGTCCAAGGAATAGTTGTTTGCCTGGGTGGTCAGCCGATCTGTTGGCAAACGAGCCAACAGCCTTTTGTGACGCATAGCACTGCAGAAGCTGAACTGGTCAGTTACTGTGAAGGTTTGATCGCCGGCAAGGCAGCTGAAGCTCTGGTGATGGAGCTCACAGGTGTTACAGCTGTGATGAAGGTCATCTATGGTGACAACATTGCCGCGATTGGACTGGCCAATGGAACTACAGCTTCTTCATGGCGAACAAGACACTTGCGCATCAGAGCAAGTCTTTTGAAACAAGCGCTGGATGAAACTGATGCAGCTGGAGGCCAATGGAAGCTGATCCATGTGCGTGGCCTCGACTTAGTTGCTGATGGTTTTACAAAGCCTCTTTTTGGAGCTGCCTTTCAACGTTTTGTGGAAAACCTGGGCATGAATGCGCCGTTTTTGAGGCCCGAAGACCCTGAAATACGTGCTGCTCAAGTGCGAAGCCATGGCAGCAGAGAACGGGTTCATGCTGGTGCAGCTTCTGCAATGAGTTTTTTGGTGGGGCAGACTCTTTTGGCCGAAGCCGAAGCTTTGGAAATCAAGGGAGAACAAGATGAAGCGGATCCACTTTGGATTGCTGCGGTGGTTTTGATGATCCTGGGGGCAATCTATGCTGGCAAGCTAGCAGTTCAAGCTGGTCAATGCTGCATGCGTCGATTGCAAGTGTGGTTGTCTGTGCCGTCAACGCCTTCTGGTGAGATGCAAGCTTCATCAACATGCTCCACTACCAAAAAGGATGATGAAAATGATGATGAAAGAAGATCTGGGTTGAGGTGGCGAACGAGCACTTCAAGCAGTTTTGGCCCTGTGCAGGCCCCTTCAGCAGGATCTTCGAATAGCGTTGGCCCTGTGCAGGCCCTTTCAGCTGGATCTTCAAGTGCTGGCCCTGTGCAGGCCCCATCGCTATGTCCTTGCGTGTGTCTGGCCCTGTGCAGGCCTCAAGTTCAACGTCTACAGTCTCCATAACTGCCGAGAGTGCTGGCCCTGAGCAGGCCCATTTTGCTGGATCTGGTGTTGGCCCTGTGCAGGCCAGGCGATCTACGAATGCGGCTGCAGGAGCGTCTTCGAGCAGTGCTGGCCCTGTGCAGGCCTCTTCTTCAAGCAGCGCTGATCTTGGCCCTGTGCAGGCCTTGCGATCTATAAATGCGGCTGCTGGCGGATCTATGAGTTTTGGCCCTGTGCAGGCCTCTGCGGCTTCTTCTGGCCCTGTGCAGGCCTCTTCGTCGAGCGGCGCTGAACATTTTGCTGATGCTTCCGGCCTTGAGCAGGCCCTGGCTGCTGTTGCGCGGATCTCCCAGAGCGCTGCTGCTGGCGATGGCATTGAGCATGCGCTGATGCAGCGTGCTGACGAAGTGAGCGAGGCTTTGAGGGTTGGTGCAGAATCTAAAGTGACTTTGCACAATCCATGGAATCTTTTTCAACATCAAAATAGAGGCAAAGGATGGTCGCCGGCAAAGATGTCGGCCATGTACAAGAAGTGGCGACCGTCCGAAAAGGATAAAATGCCTTGAGCCTACTACCAATTTTAGGTTCCTATTTTTAGGTCCTTTACTTTTTGTTCAATAGCTCCGCTACCAAAGGAGGTTCAAATTCAATTTGGCTGGGTGCCAAAAATTCGAAGTTTTTCCTCCAACGAATCGTGTAAACACGATTGGGGGAGTCTGTCAGGTGCGATGGATGACACGCACAAATCATAGAAGTGCACCTGTATACCGCAGGCATTTTGGTTTGGAAAAGTGGCGCGGTTCTCAAGATAGTATTTTCGCGAATCTTTCGCGAACCCCACGCTTATCTTTCGCGGGGATCTCATGTTAAAAGATTTCGCTAAATCTTTGGCCCAAAATAAATTACTTTGGCGAACTCCGGAAAAAAACTTTCGCGGGGTCTCATGTTGGAACCCTGGCGGCCTTTGTAATGGACAATCTCCACATGGACCTTTAGATCGACGATCAAATTTATAATTGTTGCAATTTGAGCCCTAAACACTCAACAAACCTCGCAAGTGGAACCCTCAATCTATGAAAGATCAATCTACAAGATGGTGGATTTTGTCCATTGCCAGCTTCGGCTACTTCGGGGGGGGGGGACACTGGGGACACCGGGGACAGCTTTCCAACCCAAAACTCGGCTAGGGCCATCCAAGGCGATTCGGTCAAGGGGCTGACACTTCGCAGAGTATCCGGCGATTCCTTTCCCAACCTCTTCTCTCCTAAGTCGTGGCCATAGCCCCAAAAATGACCAAAAATGCCAAGATTGAACACTGGGTAAAATAGCAGCAAACCCAAGGGAGTATTGGACACCTGAGGAAGTTCCAAACCTTGTTGGATATCATGATTGCTGGCTATGCCAATTTTGTTGGTTCCATGTGCATGCGAACATGCGAACTTGCCATCCCCACTGACAGGCTGCATGCCTACTCGCGTTGCTGAAATCCAAGATGTTCCTGGTGACATCTCTCAAAATTCTTATGTTTTCTTACCTCAATCCGACTCAATCCCCATATTCCATGGGGGGTACTTAAGGAACAATCTACAGGACATCCGGGTCTTTAAACCCCACAATATAGAGGTTTCTTGCAAACGTTCCCTTAACCAATCCAATGAAAAACGACAAAAACATCTCTAAAAACATGGGTGTCAAAAACTATTGACGTGTGCAATTTCCGCAAAGGTTCCCTTCAAAAAATCCTCCCCAAGACGTAACTCCAACCCATTCAAAATGCGCCCAGCGATGCCAAGCGGCTCCCCGCCACCACATGCAGAAAGAGCTGTTGCGCCTCGTCCGAGCTCGGGCCTAGCAGCGCCTGGGCAGTGGATATCAGGAATTTAACCACTACAAAAACAGGGTGATACAATTGTTTTGTAATGATATATGTAATGATTATATATGGGTGATACAATCTAACCAATTATATATATATATATATATGTGTGTGTGTGTGTGTAATGATTGTCATGGTTCAAGGTCAAGACTGAAGTGTTGAGGGTCACAGAATATCCGATTTTGGTAGTTTACGACTGGTTGGAGATTAGGCAAAAACGGCAACAATGGATATGGTCGGTAGGTGTTGTAGTGGTTGTGCTTGATTTGGTTCTTCTTGGCACCAAACACTGGGTGAAGCTCATGTTAAGTGGTAATGTTCTGGTTCTGGTTGGTGATTGCTGATTGATGTGGTGATTGTTGCGCCACCGACCATAGGTGAAACTCGGCGTTGACTGCTGTTTCCAGCAGGGATGAGCCTGAAAAGTTTACAACGAGTAGGATCATTCAATGGTCAGTGAAGCTGGGAAAAGAGCATCCAAGCAAGCAGAAGTAGCCAAGAAACTGAACTGCCACACCTAGCCTGGAAAATCATAGTCCAAACTCATGTTCCGCCTTTTTTCCCGGAAAAAAAGGATGAACAATTATGAGCAGTATCCTCTGGTAAACTAACATAACTATGGAAAATCACCATTTTTCATGATAAATTTCACTATAAATTGTGATTTTCCATAGTTATGTTGGTCATTACCAGAGGGTACCATACAAGTGGCCTTTACTGTAACTAAATTGTATACTATCCATTTACCACCCAGCACCATGATGAATCAGCGGGATGATTTGGATGTATTGACCCCATTCAAACTACTCGTCATAGGACATGATCATCTCAACTATTCTTGAAGATCATAAATAAGAAACGGTTGAAACCAGCCATCTTTGTGATGTTCTTGGGTGGTTCCCCCCAATCTTAACCATCAATTTGGGATTTAGTTGCCAAAGACGCTATCATCCCAAATATGCTTGAACATCTATTTTAAGATGCTTGAAACCACCAACTGGACCGGACCTAGCCGGTCCCAGCTATGCTTGAAAATAGTGAAAGAAAACATCAACTGGAATCCACCATCAAAGACCTACCGTCGACCCAGGCGGCACCGCCAAGTTGTGTTCAAAGGTCAAGGTATCTGGATGATCTAAGCCTCGGTAGTGCCGACATGGCGACCAAGCAAAGGCCCAACAAATATGCTGGTACCCTCTTGCACAGTTTGCTATCGAAAACAACCACTTTACTAAGCAAATCATGGAAACGAAATGGGCCACCTTCCCTAGCTATGTTAAATTGCTGGAGGGTAATCTCATCTTTTTGCTGCTTCAAAACCCATTTCTTAGTGGACTACCTCAGAATTGGTAAAAACATCAATGTTTGGGTGGAAAAACGTGTAAAAAACAACGGCTTCCTAGACATCCGGGGCATCAAATACATATGGATTTTACAAACTCTTTAAGAATTAAATATGCATACAGCATACATGTCATTTCATCATCCAAAAATTGGATCAAATGCCCCCCCAAAAAAAAAAATGAAAAAACATAATTCAAAAAAGAAGAGAAAAACACTCGCCTGAGATGCAATACCCCCCTAAGCCCCTAAATGGTCCCAAATATCTGTGAATCCTGTAAATGGGAGCGCATAACTGGTGATATGTCCATAATGTTCCATATATTTAGGGCCTAGCGTTAACCAATTATTACCAATTCTGATTCTTGCCAGTTATTACCAGTTACTATCCACTTACTATCCACAAAAACTGGGAGCCCAGCCCCAGCTGCCAACAACGGGCCGCAGCCCTGAGGCGCCCCACCCAGCTTGGCGCTGCCTCCAGCCCGCGCTTCGCGGTAGAGTTGCTCCGCCTGCGCCGGGCCGGCCGGGCCGGCCTTGGGATGGGTCAAATGTATCAATCTGAGACTCTAAGATGTGTCATCTGTTTATCTAAGATGTATATGGTATGATCTCACGGATATATGCAAATGTATGCATATGTGTGTCTCTCTCTCTCTCTCTCTGCGTCTATATACATATATAACGCATAACATGACATGACATGACATGACATGAACGTAAGATGAAGATGAACATGAAGATGAACATGAACATCAGCATTGCATAAGATAACATAGCATAGCATAACATGACATAACAGAACACACCTGCCATCCCACATGAATCATTTTTGGGCTCGGACCGCGGTCCAGAAAACCCTCCCAGTGGACTGCCCCAGCTTCAACTTCTTCAACTTCGCCTTCTGGTGGTCAAAGCGACTTTTATCATCCCTATCCTTCAAGAGCAAGGCGTGGTTGTTTTTCACTCCTGGGCACACCGATTCAGCTGGAGCTGGGTATTAAACCAACAAAGCAAATGAGGAAATCGGAAAACCAAAATGTGAGATTGAACTGTGACTTTAATATTTAAGCAACAAAAAATTGGTTTGTAGCCAAAAGGGGGATAAACAGCAAAACTAATACTTAAATATTTAAAAACACACACACATGTGGATGTTATCCGAATTATCCAAACCCATGGGCACTGATGGTTTGGTCCGTGGCTGCCGTGGCTCTGTAGATCTCCACGTGATCCTCACCATGTAAAGCCTCCGCGAGTTGAGTAGGAAAATGCGGTGTTTGGTGGTTGGGAAATCTATGGAAATCTCCCATAGAAAAATCAATCAGCACCAAAAATGCATCTAGATTCTTGGATTACCAAAAACCATGAAATCCATGGAACTTTTGCCAGAGTATCCCATCTGTTTTATCTTCCATATAGCTAATGCTGGAAAATGTTCTGGAAATCTCCCAAATTATCCTCCAATAGCATGTAGATTCTTGGATGAGTTTCGTAAAGGTTGTCTGGATGACTTCTATACATTCCTCTTAGAGCCTTTGCGGATGTCCCAGCTAGTCAGGTTTGGTTGGCAAATATTGGGATTTCAGCTCTGAATTTGGATGATAATTAGCTAAGATACATAAAAGAATAACAATGATAACAAAATGTTTCTAAGTCATCATTATAATCTGCTGGATCAAGATTTACAAGATATATATATATATGCTGTACCATGCATGTGGACACAACCGACCTGAACTGGAACTATATATCTTGGCAGCAAAGATGCGTGTAAATGCGATGTTTGCCAAGTTATTCTAAACTATTTTAATTGCGTGCAAACACTTTTTCGTGCTGGTTGAAATATCAAAGTATGCACCACGCATGTCGAGCCCGTGTTGATAATAGTGGTTGAATGATCATGGGATACTCCAGATTTGTTTCTTGAAATCCCCTGCTTAAAATGCTAACCTTGATCCATAAATATGTGTGCATATATACATATATATATATATATATATGGATGCATGGGATAGGATGGGAAATGGGAAGATAGATAGAAAGATAGATAGATTAATCAATTGATTAGATAGCTTAATTAATTAAATAGAATAATTAGATAGATAGCTTAATTAGATATATCAATTAGATAGATTAATTAGATATATTCACCAGATAGATTAATTAGATCGATTTATTAAATAGATAGATTAAATTAGATATATCAATTAGATAGATTAATTAGATAGATTACATGGACTATATATAATTAGATAGATTGACTAGATAGATTGATTAGATAGATTAATTAGATAGATTCATTGGATAGATTAATTGGATAGATTCATAAGATAGATTGATTAGATAATTTAATTAGATAGATTAGATATATTATATAATTAGATAGATTATATCGTTAGATAGATTATATCATTAGATAGATTGGTTAGATAGATTAACTAGATAGATTGATTAGATAGATTGACTAGATAGATTGATTAGATAGGTCAATTAGATAGATTGATTAGTCACTTGGATTAGATAGGTTCATTTGATTAGATAGATTAATTAGATTGATTAGATTGATTAGATCGATTAGATCAATTGGATTGATTAGATTAATTATATAGATTAATTAGATTAAATAGATTAATGATAATAATTAGGTTAATCAGATTAGATAGATTAGATAAATTAGATAGATTAGATTAGACTAAGATTAGATTTAGATTCAGATTGTCCAGATTAGATTAGATTAGATCGATAGACAAACAGATAGACAAACAGACAGACAGACAACCAGATAGACAAACAGATAGACAAACAGACAGACAGACAGACAAATAGATATATAGCTAGGCAGGTAGATGCCTCGCTTTTCCTTTGAACAGTGAACATATGTGAAAATGTGTGGCAATAGGATCTGTTATGATCTTTCAAGCTGGCTTTGGCTGTTCCATTACTCGGCTAATCATGGGAATCATGGGATGATCCAGGTGCGAGCCTTCCTCCCCGCCAGAGCGCGTTCGTAGAGAATCTGCGCCTGCACTTGACATTACTACGGTGCAAGGTCACTCACCTGTTGAAGAATATTTAACTATATATTATATACATATATATATATATACATACAATGATGGAGGCCACAAGAGGCTCCGTTCTAGTCATAAAGTCATTCAGTTCATTTTGATATGATTTAACCCCAGCAGATTGCTGCCGCAACTGTGCATCAGGAATACGTACGCTGCAGTTACTTAAGTTACTTACTTCACCCCACGAATCTATATCAAGTATTATAATTAGTCTGTCAGCATCCATCACCATCTGCCCAGCTCCCCCGATACCCCTCAATCATAATATCAAATTATATATATATATATATGTACATGTGTATATGATCATCATTATTTATATGTGTATATACCATCTGGTTATTTAACAGTTCGCCATGGAAAATCATCATTTTTAATAGGTAAACCATCTATAAATGGGCCATCTATACCATGGCTATGTTAAATAACCAGAGAGTATGTGTACCACCTTTTGATATCACTTTGGCCGTCGAACTGCCCCATTAAAAAAAAACTCCGGCCTCATCAAACTGCCCTTTGAGGCGTAAGAGGCCAGCCAAGTCGTTGACCGATTGCAGCGTGTCGTGGTGCAGCCCTTAGGCTCCAATTTCAGCAACGGAGCCACGGAGAAATTCTGGGATTTAGTGGGCGGCTGCGATTTAGATATTGAAAATGGGATTTAATGGTGCTTGAATGGTGTTTTAATGGTGTTTTTAAATGGGATTTATATGGGGTTTTCATGGGGTCTACTGTAATGGGATACTTAATGGGACTGAATGGGATACTTAACGCTACCTATTCTGGATGAAGTATGATATGAGCTGAAACGTGCTGCCAGCTATGGGGCAATCTACCATCAGTGACATCCAGCGAGGCCACCATAATCTATCATGAGCTATGAGTGGGATACTGAATGGAATGCATAATGGGATATCAGTGGGATACTGAATGGGATATATACTTGATGGTGATATTAGTGGGATACAGAATGGGATACTTAACGGGATATCATTGGGATCTTGGATACTCATAGCTGGCTCTCCAGTTCTAAGTTTGTTCATCAACCCCATTAACAATAGCTATAATATGTTATAATCACCACAAACCATCGGTTTTTCCCCAGTTGGAGTCAAAATCCAACTTCAACAAAATCCAACCATAGATTAACCATTTATTAACCATCATTAACCATCATTAACCACCATTAACCACCATTAACCATCATTAACCATCATTAACCATCATTAACCATAGATTAACCATAGATTTAACCATGGATTTAACCATGGAGCTACTAAGACTTCCCACCTTAGATAGTTCCCACCTGCCTTCGGGGCGCACCCAGCTTCACCCAAGCGTCGCCCATGCCGTGCTTCTCGGCTCTCCAGGGCTCGGCGGTACAGGACTTCCGCTTCGCCGTGCCTGGGGCCGAAGAGGGACACCGTTGCAAGTTGTGGAGGAGGGTTATTACTATTCATCATGTTATTTACCCTCTGGTAAATTAACATAGACCCTGGCAGATAGGGGTTGGAAGACTAGTTTCCATTAAAAATTTGTTATTTTCAGGGTCTATGTTTATTTACCAGAGGGTATATATATATATATATTATTACTCAATCATTGGCAGCACAAAGATAACTGACGAAAAAATTTGGAGCAGAAGAGGGTCAAATGTTACAACATGTTACAACTATGGACATTCATGTTACTTGTCTGCATCTCTTCGGGTGGTAAAATGTGGGTGTCACTTGCAATGAGAGGCCCCATGTCGGGTGTAAGAGTTGAACAGGAATACCTTCTGGTAATGACTAACAGTTTGCTATTGAAAATGGCACATTTACTTCGTTGCTTTACCTATTAAAGATGGTGATTTTCCATAGATGTTTGTATGTTTACCAGAGGGTATCTCCCCCATCAGGCCCTATCATAACAGGTAAATCATCATGCTTATCATCTATAAATGGGCAATTTTCCAGTTCGCTATGTTTGTTTACCAGAGGGTAACCATCATTATTAACCATCATTAACCATATGTTAACCATTTATTAACAATTTAATTATTAACAATCATTAACCATCACTAACCATCATTAACCATCATTAACCATCATTAACCATCATTCACACCATCATTAACCATCATTCACCATCATTAACCATCCATTACTGGAAGGTATAAGTTATAAGCTGAAACTCCCACAGAAGTGTCCGCTGGGATGATCGCAATCCCTCGCCTGCCCTTTTCCTTCAGCAGCCCCGCCAAGTTGGCCATGCTCGCCGCAGTGACCTCCGGAAAAAAAAAAAAAAAACTCACTGGATTACAGATATATTTCACAGTAATATTAGATATTATATATATAATACCTACATCATATATCATCCACAGTAAACATTCCAAATTATAGATATTATATCATATTACAGAGTCTGGATTGTATTTATGGAGAGAGAGATATATATATATATCCATACAAAACAGATACTCTATTTATATTGGTTTATATGTAACCAATGGATATATAGAATATTTATATTCCATACAGATTTCAAATTGCCATTACTTGCTATGGAATTTATGGATCAAATGAAAGTTTCACTGACTCTCATGAAGCTGTTAGATCCTACCATCGCAGCTTCGCCAAAGGATGCAAACCTTGGGCCCCCAAGCGACCATCTTGAGGGGAACTCTCCGCCAGGTCGACCAAGTGGCTTCTGAAAATACGCTTTTCCAATCGGTGAATCATCATTTTCCCATCAATTGCCATCATTTTTATGGTGTGTTTTTATGGTGTTTTGTTTATGGTGTTTTCGCCCCGTGTTTTTTCGGAAAACCCCAAAATTTGGGTGCGGATTCCCGGGGATTCCCCGGGCATAGTTTGGAGCCAAGCAACGTTATGTGATGGACCCAGGTGAGTCTCGTGACTTGTCAGCACGCGACGGTACAAAGGTTCCGCCTGGCCACGGAACCACGGCCAGAAGTCATAGGAAACCAATGACTTTTGTGGGAAATCAATGGAAAACTCATAGGAAACCAATGGAAGTCAATGGAAAATCATGTGTTTTCTTCCAAATCCGAGGGGTACCCATGTAAATGATCCCCAAACCAATTCTGGTACTGGTGCTTCCACCAATGATGATCCTGCAAAATCACTGGGAATTGTCAGAAATGATTTCTAGCACAGGCGCAGGAAAAAAATGAATAAATAGGAGACACAACACTTTCCTGCTTTCAATCTGATCTTCCCATGTTCCTCCCCCTTTCCATCCACCGGCGCCTTGTCCAGCTGCCCTAGCATCTTGTACATGTACGCCAGGTTGGACATCTGAGTTGCAGCCAAGAAATATCCAGAGGATATGATATAGGCATTTTTGATGTGGAACTGGAGCAAAGCTGGAGGCCACATGATTAGAATGTCTCATTGTGGTGAATGGTATCTACGGTGCCATCATCCAAACACATTCAAACATTAAAAAAACAGCAAAACGCGCCAGACTCGCACCCCGAGAGAACTAGTTGCAGCCCTGCATGATTTGGGCGGCCACAGCTCCAAACCCACCATCGCCCCAGATCCCTCCAGTCTCGGCACCGCTTGGAGCGTCTCCAAATGGTCAGGGCCCAGTGAGGACTGGCGCAACTGGATGATTTTCAAATGGTACTGCTCCGCCTCACAGCGCGGCTGCGTCAAATGTCCAGGATGGCTGGTGATCTCTGGTTTAACTCTTGGTCCTTTTGGTTCAGTTGAGCAGCAACTTCACCGGTTCCCAGTGTTTGGCATGCCTTGGTGCTGTTTCTCCTTCTCTTTTCCCGTTCTTCTTTTTGGTGCGATTTTTCCATGGTTTTCATGCATGTGTTCACTATCCAGCAGGTAACCCATGATTTGATGGTTTAAGGGGATCAAATGCAATTTACTTAATGGCAATGTGTTCTCTGATTTGCCTATACTGTCCCCTTGGTTGTGGTGTGTTTCCCTGTTTTTCCCGCGTTTTTGTTGACCGCGTCTTCCAGCCTGCTTCAGGCGCCCCAGAACCATGGAGGTCTCCGCGGAGCGTTCCAGCGTGGTGAGCCTGGCCGGGCACAAACTGACTTGAAGAATGATGATTGATAGATATGCTACTGGATTTTCTGTGGTTTCATAAGGAATTAATTACATATATATATATATATATCCGTGCGTGCGTGTGGTTTTGATATGATTTTATATGGTTTATAAGGATCTGTGTGGATTTGATATGGGTATGGCTCAAAAGACGGGTATGGATCGTTCCGCGGTGATCCGGAAGTATGGAACGAGTGAGTTACATAGGAGACCTTTGACCCAGACCTATTGAAAAGGTACAATAAAGTGGCCTGGTATAAGTACATCTTGTCATTTTTGGGTATGGATCAAGGGTACGGTATGGATCATATCCCTTAGAAAATGTATGGATCATGGGTAGGGAGTACTTCCTAGTTGCGACATCATACATACCTGATGAAACAATGGCATTCTGATTGCGAAGAAAGAGAGTTGTTTGATTGCCAGTATGTATCGGGGGTTTGGATCGCGTGTGGGTCCAGGGTATGGATCGGGGTCTTGCATTTTGAGCCCCGGCCGCCGTGGCCAAATTCCTATATGGATAAATGATAAATACATCTATATACAAATATAGATATATAAAGATAGAGATAGAGATAGAGATATAGATGTGTGTGTGTGTTGTGTGTATGTGTATATATATATACATGTATATTGATATTGTGTGTGTTGTGGATTTTATATGGTGTTATAAGTGTTTGATGATTACGATAGGTTCTTGAAACATATTTTAGGTATTTTTATGGACATTTTGACGTTTGATAGCTGTTACTGGGACTTTTGGGCATTGCTGAGGATTTATATTATTGTCTATGTATGTCATATTTGTTCATATGTGGTGCGTGGTACATTGTTAGAATGCATGCTTTGTACAGTACTGGTAACATTGGCATGGATGTGTGAGAATGGGACAAGATCAGCAATAAAAAATCATTGGCATATGCGGCATACCCCCTTGGTATTGCAATCCCTTTTTTGCACCAATCGACATATAGCCCATCACAAATCGGAAGCTGAATAAAAATGCAACAATGCTGATAATAACAATCATAATAAATTACTGTACATAACAATAAATATATTAAAATGTACCGATGTATCGATATGTATATATATATATATCGATGCTGGTTACAATAATCATAAATACTCATAAATTATATATATATATTATATATAACAATAGTAAAAAATCGATGATGGTCTCGTCCTCTCGAGCCCAGCCACGTGTCCGGGTGAAGATGTCCCAACTTCCGTTCCTTGGATTCACCAACGTTTTTCGGGGTGGCCATTGGGATCCATTGGCTTTAGTGGTTGATGGCGAAAACCACGGCAGAGTGACACTGCCAAATCCATAGATTTTGATATGTTTTTTTTGGGAAGAAAGGCTTGGAAAACCTGTGGTTTTCGGCTCTGTTTTTGTGGTAGTGTCCCTGTTGCCAAGTTCCGTGACATTGGTGGAGTTGGAGTCTCGTGTGCACCATGTTTGCCCGAAATCTTGACTAGGATCACAAGCAATTCCAAGTATCAAATCCTTTCAACACAAAAAAAAAAAAACTTAACCACTCCTTCACAACCCATTTCAAAGCAGAAAGTCCGCCAAGATCCCAAACATCCTATAAATCATCTATAGCATCTATCATAATCTACAGTAAAGTCATTCAATATCCATCTCAAATCCTATATAGCATCTATCAGAAACTGCTTCGACCTCGCAGCCCCCCCGGGGCGCGCCCAACACGTTGGTCCCAGCGGCTCTCCACTCGAGCACCTGCTGAAGCAGGGGCTCGGCCATCTCGTGTTTGCCGCGAGCACTGTAGATGGAGGCCAAACCCATGGCACTTTCCACCTGCGACGGGACATCTTTGTTTGGAACACCCTTGAAATCTGCTCCAAAAAAATGTGGAATTATTCCCGAAACAAAACCATGGTTTAACTAAGGAGTGTTTTTCATATTAGGGCTAGGGGATTATAGGGTGGTTTTTAATATGGTTGGTTTAATGATAGTTTAATGGTAAAAAAAGAACATGGGGAGGGGGCGACCGGGTTCTAATGGGGGTTGCGGTTGCGAACTGGCGACCTGGGAGGTCATCGTTCTCGCAGGTTGATTGACACTGGTGACAGCACGTCTGACCATTTAGCCATCAACCAGTGGATCAACTGGGCATTGCTTATCTGAAGATATCTGAAGTACCAGTTGATGGATAAGTTGGGGATGGACATTGGTTCTGCTAGATTCACGGAATTGACGCACTAAAATGGGCCGGATGATGTTGTTGTTGTCTCAAAGGTATGGCACCACACATTGATCTCTGTGATGCACTACCCAATTTTGGGGTACCAAATTCTGACCCATAGCAACATGACATCCGCCAATTAAACAAACAAAGCTCCTACTTCCCCATGAATATGGCCGACGGCCAAATCACAACTGAAAAAACTGGAAAAGAAGCTGAAGGGTGCAAGGGCACCACAATTTATCCTCTACCCTCTGGTAAACTAACATAACTATGGAAAATCCACCCTTTTTAATGAGAAAATCCACTATAAATGGCAATCTTCAATAGCAAACTGTTAGTTTACCAGAGGGTACTTGTTTTGTTCCACATTCTTGGTCATCTTCAATGGGGACACCGTGGAAAATCCCTGGTTTCCGCTGGGTTCCCCTGCCGTGTCTGGATGGGTTTCTCCCAACTTCGCCTGAAACGAGTCGCGCTGGGCCGTGGATGATGAATGCGTCCACGTTTCCAAACACTTTGATATATGAAGATCATACATACGTATATACATATATATGTATATTATAATAATATATGTTATTTATATAATGAGACATGTGTATATCTATCTAGCTATCTAGCTATCTATCCATCCATCCATCCATCCATCTATCTATCTATCCATCTATCCATCTATCCATCTATCGATCTATCCATCTATCCATCTTCTATTGATCAATCGATCTATCGATCTATCGATCTATCGATCTATCTATCTGTCTATCTATCTATCTATCTATTTATCTGTCTATCTATCTATCTACCTAGCTATCTATCTATCCATCTATCCATCTATCCATCTGTCCATCTATCTATTTATCTGTCTATCTATCTATATGTCTATCTATCTATCTATCTATCGATCTATCTATCTATCTATCTATCTATCTATCTATCTATCTATCTATTTATCTGTCTGTCTATCTATCTATCTATCTATCTGTCTATCTGTCTATCTGTCTATCTGTCTATCTGTCTATCTGTCTATCTGTCTATCTATCTATCTATCTATCTATTTATCTGTCTATCTATCTATCTATCTATCTATATTCTGTTTGTAATCTACAACTGAACCATAAGGGAAACATAGATGTGGATAGATATTATCGGTCAGAGCCAAAGCCGTGGCAATGCAGTGGCATCTTCGTCATGCCAAAAGGTGGGATCAAGTACTCGACCTTGGGATATTCAGGTGACCATCCTCCATAACTGCTTGGTGGCTGTTGTTGGAGCAAACTTTGTCCATATCGGTTGCAAAGTCCCATGACTTTCAACCAAAAACTGGAACCCCCTAAAAACTTGCAATTTCGAACCGCAAATGTCATCTTACCCTACCAAAGTGAAAAAGGTCGATCTTAGTTTTCAGGTCAATTTCGGAGACTCCTCAAAAACCACTGCAAAAATTGACATGAATTGTTGGTCCTTAGGGGTCCTTGTTTCCGATTCCTGATTTCCCGTGAAGCACGCCGTCCACCGACAACATCCCATGGCGCACCTTGAACCCCTCCAAGGCCTTGATCTGCACGGGTTCTGCTTCCTGGGCACGGCCAGTAGCAAACCCATGGCGATAGAACCTCAAAAAACAAACATGGTTGAAGAAGGTACCCTCTGGTAAACTAACATAACTATGGAAAAACCACCCATTTTTAATGGGAAAATCCACTATAAATCACCATTTTCAATAGCTACAGTTAAATTACCACAGGGTAAAAGGATGTGAAAGGTGCAGATTCAGAAAGAATATGAAAGAATCATAAAGCTAGCATGATACCAACATATACCAACCAAACTTAAGTTGATCAATAAATCGTGCAATCTCCCCCTTTCTCGGTCCATCGGTCCATCGGTCCATCACCCAGTCGTCCGCCTGTGCACGGCCCAGCACTTCCATGACGGAGGCTAAAGCCGCACAGTTGCAGAGGGTATCCTGGGCAACAGGGGTCTATCCGGAAATCCCCGCTGGATGGTTTATTTCAAGTTGATTTCATGGAAAATCTATAAATTGACCTCCATATCATATGTAACACATGATGAAAAACCAGGCGAGCATTGCCATGTGCAGAACCGTACACGGTGTACACCACTCAAAGATCCGCTCGCAGCGGATAACGGCTGACTCCAGGTTTTCACTGCCGAGTGTCTGGATGCTGCGCTCCCAATTTCTCCTTCATGCCTGCAACGTCGCGTTGCGACATAACGGTGACGACACACCGGCTTGACCATCACCATCACAACAAAGGCTGGCAATGTCACCCCCAATGGGAAACGGCACTATACTCAAGTTTGTTCAATTTCTACCAGTTGGGAAAATAGCCATACCCAAGTGAGGCATAATTGATGAACCCTTTTAACCCCTAAGCCATGGTTCCTGAACCATGCCCTTTTGCTGCAATGGGCTATTTGGATGTGTCCAAAAATGGTGGATGTACAACCAAGGTATTGCTCTTTTCATTGGCCAAATGATGGTGGCTGTACCCCGTTCTTAGACAACCATAGACAACCCATTTAACACCAACAATAACAATAAAGACTTGGTAGACTCCAACTCGCTACTCATTGGCCTGAGCATGCATCCCAATCAGTAAGTGGTTTCTAATCATGGTGAGTGCCCCAGTTCTATGTGGTACATCTGCCGTCTTTGACCCGCATAGCCACAAGATGCCATTAATATCCATTAATCCCTATGCATCCTTATGATGTTCCTATGAATGGATTGTTTGTTTCCCATCTTGTGCACCATAAAATCACCATGGGAACTCCCAAAACTCAGCACCGCTCGGCCCCGGTGGGGACCCCTGGTGCCTCGCACCACGCGCTGGAGAAGCTGTTCGGCTTCCTGCGCGTAGCCGCGGGTCTTCAAGACCTGTGCCAACTTGCTCTGGCAATACCTCGGTTTCCGTTGCTTTTTTTTGGTGAAATTCAGGAAGAAATGATGGGAAATGATGGAAAAATTATGGAAAATGATAAGAAAATGAAAGGAACATGATGGCGGAAATGATGGAAAATGATGCGAAAATAAACGATTCGAAAATGATTCGAAAATGATGGGACAATTAAGGGAAAATGATGAAAAAATGATGAGAAGATGATGGAAAATGATGGGGAAATGATGGGAAAATGATGGAAAAATGATGGGGAAATGATGGGAAAATGAAGGGAAAATGATGGAAAATGATGGGAAAATGATGGGGAAATGATGGAAAATGATGCGAAAATGATGCGAAAATGATGGGAAAATGATGGAACAATGAGGGAAAATGATGGAAAATGATTGGAAATGATGGAAAATGATGGGAAAATGATGGAACAATGAGGGAAAATGATGGAAAATGATTGGAAATGATGGAAAATGATGGGAAATGATGGATTTTCACTAATGGAAAATTGATGAAAATTGATTTTTGTCAATGGAAATGATGGGTTTTACAAACAGAATTTGTGATTAAACCATCAAGAACAGTGATTTAAAGAAGAAAATGATGGATTTTTGCAAACAGAAATGATGAGATCACACGCCAAATGCTGATTTGACCAGCAAAAGTTGTGACTTAACCATATTTACCCGATTTAACCATGCAGAAATGTGGGACTAAAACATCTAAAACCAAGAAGAGTCAGAGTTGTCAACAGTCAAAAATTGGAATTGAACCGCCAAGAATGGGGTCAACAATAAAAGAATTGGGAAGTATCTATGAAACATAGTGAATTGCGATCAAGAAAAAATGGTTGAGAACGGTGAATCATGGCGATATTGGCGAGTCAACCATCAAACATTGGCAGCCACGAGAGGGGACCAAGGAGGAAGATCCGGAAAAAATCAGGGGATTGATGCAACAAAGACATGCGTTTTGGGGGGGTTCTTGATGAAGCAAAACATTGGATTTATTCTTCTTAAAAGCAGCGATAGGCGGCCAACTGCTGGTCACAAATGAACACCAAAGACCAAGGGGATAGATTTTTCGCACCCCTTTCCACTCCACATCTGCCGTGGTGCAAGGTGTCCAAATGTTTGGACCCCAGGTGGGTTTCAAGGCCCTTGGCACTCCGTCTGTACAGCTTCCTCAGTGTCATCTCTCTAGGACGAAAGAAGCGAAAATGGCCCACTGGTTGTTTTTGGAGAAAGGCCATGCTAAGATGCTTGTCTATCTGTCATTTTTACTTTGTGTTGCCTATGTTCCCACTGTTTGTTCTTCATGTTGCTCTGCAGCTATTGCTTTCGTTGAAGAAATCGTATGAAATTTCTAGCGACAAAAACAAGGCGCGTTTCTTAAATCCCCTGTGTTGATCTTTCTTCCAGTGTGAATACATTTTTTTCCCCCATGTCCGTTTGTGAAATCATCTATTCTTGTCGCTAAGTCCCATTTTTCTTTGGATTTAACCCACCGTGGAGTGTCTCCTGAAATCCTACCGAGCGACTCTGCTTCGGTGGTGTGTCCCAGAGCCGCCAGCAACGCGGCCTTGTGGGAAACATGGATTTTCCATAGCTCATTGGGTTTGTTGAAGGGTAATTCCTTACAGTAATCATGGAACATCTACAGGAAATCGGAACTTGGAACCCAAATTGATTTTTGGTGTCAACCATAGTTGCGAATTCATATATAGATATATATATATATATATACATATGTCCACATATATATATATATATATTTGTGTGTGTGTATGTATATAATGTATGTATGTAATGTTATTTATGTATGTAATGTGATGTGATGTGATGTGATGTAGTGTAGATGTAATGTAGTGTAATGTAATGTAGCGTAATGTAATGTAATGTGGTGTAGTGTAATGTAATGCAATGTAAGGTACGTACGTACATATGTATATATATATATGTGTGTGTGTGTGCATATTTCTAGGTATTACACATATATCGTCACTTATCATATATATCATATATCGGTCTGTACATCCCAAGAAATTGGTGCCACTGATCTGCTATTTTTTTGGCACCAAGGCGCTAGGTTGCAGGCCGTTCGCAGCGTGTCCGGATCCTCAGGACCTTGGAATTTCAATGTCACTTTAATGTCTTGGTAGAAAAATGATGTTCATCCATGAAACACTACAAGATGTTGAAACCTCATGTCTTGAACTACATCAAACTAAATTAAGTATCATTGAATAGTATGAAATTCAGAAGTAGAAAGGCTGCAACGTGCTGCCAGCATTCTCTTTCAAGACCTTGGACTTGGGATGTCTTGTTGTTCATACTGGTCCACAACATCACGGGCAACCATGGGTACGAGTACCGCGGGGCTGACGCGAGGTGCTGGGGGCGCGGACCTAGACGCGCCTGCAAACACAGCAAGGTGGATCTGTACAAGGGCTCTGCATCTGCGAAGCGGCCCTGGAAGGTCGGGTGAAATGTGGCCCCCTTTGGAGAGGCTCTGACGTGACAATACCTATCGAATTACCTATCTCTCTTATCTTATCTAAATAGGTCTAGATCTACATCTATATCTACATACAGGCACACCCATGAACTCCAAGAAAATGCTGTTCCAATCAACCATTGATTGGTGGTTTTCAGACTTCGCTTAGAAACCCTGCACACATCCACTTGGATCCCCTCCTGCGCGACGATCAACGCTGCCAATTCCTGGCAGGATATTTTCACAACGGGTGATATGATGATACTCCCGGGGGGATTTGGGGAAAGCTGAACTGCTTGACTCCTTGGGTCCTGATTCACAACGGGATTACTGGGGATCATTGGGATCTGAATGTTGCTTGATTCAGAACAAACGTCGGACGCTTTTCTCCATGAAAGCAGCGCATTTTCGGGTGCCCAGGTTTGATCCATACCTGTTTTGTTTGCACTACATGTTTGTCTGTTGACTCCTTGATACTCCTTGTTATCTTAACGCCTAAATCCCAATTTCTACTGATATTTTTTATTCAAATAACTGTTCTACAAGTCACACCCTGATGCTTCTGTGAAAAAACTCCTACAATGACATCGACCTTGATTTATGACGATTTGGCCTCTAAAATTGCCATTTATAGTTGATTTACCCATTATACATGGAACATGTCCATAGCAAACTGTTAGTTTACTAGAGGGTAACCCATGAAGATTCTCAACCTCAGATTTTTTCTGATTAATACGGGGTTAAATCATGTTAAATCCCCGTTTAAATCCACCGAGGGTAACACGCCAGGGCCACGTTGCTCGCGATGAGCGTCTCGGGATGCTCAGTGCCCAGCGCCGCTTTTCTGGCCTCCAATGGCGCGAAGTCCAGGACCTCTTTGAGTTGTGAAAAATGAGAAAAACGATGGAAAAGTTGGAAAAGGTTGGAAAAAACTATGGAAAACGATGAAAAACGATGGTTAACTTGTTTAACAACCAATCGAAACTGTTGGATGGAATGCTGGTTCAAGAAAATGGTTTGGGATTAAGTGTTGATTTTATGGCTTAAATTTCCCCGTTCTACTGATGCGAGCTGTGAGAAAAAAAGTGTGATTCAACCAACCCCCAACAAAAAAACGGATCGCAGCAACTGATTGGCTGATTTCCAACTCCAGCTGATGGAGATTCCTCGGCTTGATAGGTGACTGCAATAAAAATTCAGCGCCCCTGGCGAAGGAAAGTCTGCAGTTGGAAACCACCATAAACTGTAGAAATGATCTGGGAACAAGACATCAAATATATTTCAAAATAGTTATCTTTTCATTGTCCTTCTTTATGATGGCCCGACTCCATCTCATCAAAAGAGGTGTATGCTTGTCGATCTTCCTTGGGAACCCCTACATCCCATCAACATCCAGTTTATCTATCTCTATTCCATCCATCCATATAATCTAATCCAATTCATCATTCATCTACCCTCCAGTAAAGTAAAATAACATAGATATGTACAATTATGTACATCCACCATTTCCTAAACCCCAAAAAAAACATAAATTCCCATAGGTTTTTGTAAATTTACTGGAAGGTGTCCAATCTCCACGTTGCAAAACTGGCGCTCGTCCTCCAAAATTCGCAGCAGCCGCTGCTCGGATTTGGAGGCGGCCAATTTCATGCACCTGGGAATGTCAGGGCTGGCTGCATGTCGTTTGCGAATGTTAGCATAGTTGGCTCCCCATTTCATCATATTTCATCCATTTCATAGGTTTTCTCAGGTTTTAAGATGTTTTTCCCATTTCATCCATAGCGTTTAAGATGTTTTAAGATGTTACTATAGTTAGCTACTATACTTAGTTTTTGCTACTTGGCTCCCCATTTCATAGGTGTTCAAATGTTCTAATAGGTCTTAAGAGGTGTTTCCATCTTTTTTTCCATTTCATCCATAGGTTTGAGGATGTGTCTAAACTTACTGGTGCCAAACGCAGGGAATGAGGGAATGATCCCAGTCATCACTAGTAAGAATCATCCCAGCAACCCCCAGCAACCCATCCATTCCCTACGTTTAGCACCAGTAAGTAAAAAGGTGTTCATAAGAAATACCCTCTGGTAATTTAACATAGCTATTGAAAATCACCATTTTCAATGGTAAATCCACTATAAATGGCCATTTTCAATAGCTTTTTTAAATTCCAGAGGGTATGCATAGCCATAGCATGCCATAGCTCCACCGCTCCCGGGCATAGCGGTCGCGGACTCCGCGGTATTCGCCGAGCCACGCCGCCTCTTCGGGGCAAACGATCCTGGGGGCTTCGCGACGATGGCTTGGCAGCCATTAAAAAGCGTGAAAATAAGCAACAATATACTGGTTTAGTTTTAAATGGTTGGGAAAACTTATTTATAATCTATTGTTAACCTATTGTTAACCAAGAACAGTAGAATGTTCTTTTTTATGGCAATAACAATGGCAATAACCATTAAATTATAATAATCGTGAAAATCATCAACAAACGAATGTTCAGCAATAATATTAATACGTCAAAAATGATCTTAATAACTATACTGACCATATGGAACCACAATTTAAAAAATAATATTTAAAAAAAAACATTTTAACCGGCAAAAATTGCAATTTAACCAATACAAAAAATGGGGTGGTAATGTATGTCAATCTAATTTAAAAATCGAGAGTTGACCAACCCAAAGATGGTGATGTGAACTTCAAAAAAAATCGGACTTAACCAACAAACGAATGTGAATTATATAAACAACCACAAATTGCGATTTAACAAACAAGACCCCCCAAAAAAAAACGTTGTTTTTTTCAGGGGAGGGACATCGACCGACGATTGACCGTGAGTCATAAGCACAGTGAATATTAGTGATTGGATTCGGTGGTTACCCTCTGGTAAACTAACTGTTTGCTATGGAAAATCACAATCTTTAACAGGTAAATCAACTGTAAATGGACCATTTTCAATAGCTATGTTAAATTACCAGAGGGTAAAATGTGTGAATATGAGTGTGATTTAGTCATATTGTGACTGGCAAATCAGAAAAATCTCGGATATAATTGACCATTATATTTGAATAATATTGACCAATAACATCCAATAACTAATCTTTAGTTTATATATGTTTATATTCACTTATTCGTGACTAGTTATTAACCCATATCATTTACTATTGGCCAAGATTAACCATCCGTACCAATCAGAACCCATAGTTGATACACAAGATTGACCATCATCCAAGATTTACAACAACAACACATGTTTGGCTGGTTGACACCCCAAATGGGGGTTCCTTCAAAACCATATTTGGAATCACTTTACTGAATCATGATGGTTCAAACCATTTCAAACCCATATAGTTGGGTCTTTGAAACCCATATAATATATATATATATATTTGAAACCCATAACACACACACACATATATATATATACATATGTATATATTAAAATATGTAAGTATAAATATATATATATGCATATTTGGATAGTCGAAGATCCCTTTCCCAGCCCCAGCGCTGCAAAATTTCACCAGCGTCTTCCAAATCTGGTGTGGCGAGTCGTTGGGGTTCGTCAGAACCTTCTGAACCATCTCCTGCGCTGGGGAAAAGATCCCCTGATGTCATGGGGTCTATGGGTTTATCCCCTTCTAAAATTGCATCTATTACTGGCTGAATTAGAATAATTCACTAGCGTGAACAGTAACCTGAAATGAGGCCTCTCGTCTTCCTTTCCCCTTACTAATCATCATTCCAGTGCCGGCACAGTGAGGTCGTTATAATTCATGAAGATCTATACATGGCATATTGAAAAATAAATGGGATATTGAAAAATAAATGGGATATTGAACAATAAATGGGATATTGAACGATAAATGGGATATTGAACAATAAATGGGATATTGAACAATAAATGGGATATTGAACAATAAATGGGATATTGAACAATAAATGGGATATTGAACAATAAATGGGATATTGAAAAATAAATGGGATATTGAAAAATAAATGGGATATTGAACAATAAATGGGATATTGAACAATAAATGGAATATTGAACAATAAATGGGATATTGAACAATAAATGGGATTTAAGATGGCATTCACACGGCATTCATGTGGATATCAAATAGGTATAGACGACCCCGTCGTAGATCTCTGGGAAGCTGATTTTGGTGGATCCAGTCGCTTCCCGCGGTGTCCGGGGGGTAGTCGTCCTCTATTTCGAAGAAAGGGATCAACACCCACTGTGACTACATTAACCATCATGGTCAAATTCTGATTCACCAAGATGTTATCACAACCAGTTCACTATCCATCATCACCCATCATTCTTAACCGTCTTAACCCACCTCATCGGGGAAAAACATCGACCCAAGCGCCCCATTGCTCTTTGGGCACCTTTATAGCCAGGCAAAACTTGGAGCGGTCTGACCTTTGGATTCGCTGGAGGGATCGTGGAATCCTATGACGGCTATGACGGCTATGACGGCTATGAGTCAAGGGCCCCTGGTAGCCAGATGATACCCTAAATCCTAAATATATCTAAATATATCTAAATATGGTCATAGATTTTGACCCATCCCCGTATCAGAAAGACAGGAAGAGAAAAGTGACGGGGATTCGACCATCAAAATCTGGATCTGACTGGTATTCTCTTTGCGATGGGGGTTCAACGGTTCAACGGTTCACCACCTGGCGACCGACCGACCTGTCTATCAATGTTGGAGTGTAATGAAGATCGGGAACTGGACTTGTCGTAACCATGATCTTCTGGTTGCTGGGTTTTTTGTCACCTGTGGATTCATAAACGCCTGGGTTGAACCGGAGGCTACCATTTTGACAGACGACGCTACAAAATTGATCAACTAGGGTTTACATAGAAATATCCCAACGACTGCGGGTAAACTCTGTGATTGGCGTTTCGGAGCAGAGTTTATTATATAATCTTGGGTTGGCAACCATAGGTGCATGTACATCTCTTTTAAAAAAAAAAAGTGGTGTTTTCGCGAGTCAAACCTAACTGTTCCGAAGAAATGGCTACAGTATTGCACTATTTCTCTCCCATGTTGCTTTCAACCAGGCAAGGCTTTGTCCAACAAAAATGGTATCCCACTCAAACCCCGCAAAAAAAAACACTGCGGCACTGCGTGATAAGAGGCCAACAAAAGCAAGTGACCGTTTTGGTTGGCGAGCCCAACCCCCATACATATGCCCAACCTCAGACACCTCCAAAATACTCGAAAAACAATAGAACCATTCCTTTGAGTAGGGCACGCTTTCATTCACGGTTCCAAGCATTTACCCCGTAGACCGCCCTCCATCATTCGCTTCGGCACGGTAGGCCACTGCTGGTGGCGCGCACTTCTTCGCTGTTGCTGGTTTTGTTGGATTCCTGGGCCTTGGATGGTTTTGGAGATACCCTGAAAAGATAAATATATAGCCGGTGAGTCCATTTCAATCCATTTCTGGGCTAACCCTTGTTTGTTCGATTGATAACAAAACAAGAAAAAAAAACGCTTGGTGGTCCAACAAACCGCATGTTTGGCCAGTATTGAGGCACCACGTGGTCAGCTCACCTTCCCTATAATCCTTGTAGATGGGTATGACTGTGATGTGTATGAATCTCCATGGATGGAATTCCATGGTAAACCCCTGGTTGATTCAAATGGGGCTGACAACTGGCAGTGGAAATCATCAAATCAAAACATATCAAAACCATGTTTGGAAGGTTGACTTCTGCTTCGGCTTCGGAAACTGTTGGATCCTGGGTTTACATTGCCGTCAAGATACAAAATCTACTGGAGCCATGGACGACGCCACTAGGCCACTAGGCTCATAGGTGTCGCGGTTTTCTAAAAACATATTGCCACAATTGGCAGCTTGCATGCCCCTATATGTTCGTCGTGTTCTATATGTTCTATGCCTCTGATTTGGAACTAAAACATGTTGTCCTTCGCCATTTTGGGCCATGTATTCCCCAACCATCACTGGGTTCTGAAAACATGCTACGATGGTACCCAACAAATTGACAGTTCATAGTTCATCATCCTCTTGCTTAAAGTTCCCACTTGGCATACCTGATGATACCTAAGATACCCCATTTTCGGACAGACCCGTCGACCGAAATCAGTCACCTGCAACGCCCCACCTCCATGACCTTTGCTTCGAGCTGATCTGGCTCTTCCGACAGCCCGCGCACACCTGAATGGCCCGCCCCATCCAGGGGCAGGAAAAAAACGAGTTCGCCTCCACTTCTGCAGGCTCTTCCGTGTTTTTTAAGGATAGAAAAATTATGAAAAACTAACCAGACCTGGCCGAAGCCTGGTTTCAGCAAGAATTTTTGAAGGTTTACCACTCCATGGATGCAACTCTCAAACGTCGAGTCATGCACCCAAGGGACTTCCATCGGCATCTTTCAGGGCCGACCATAACTCTGGAGTGAGATACGCGGAAGAACAAACCGCATTGAAATTTCCCTTGGTAGTGTAGTGAAACCTCAGAAAGTAGCAACCGTGGCGGATGGTTTTTTGAGTCCTTCTGCTTCGGAAATGTTGACCGGGGTGAGCGCGAAATTCCAGCAAATCAAACCAAATGATCCTGTGGAACGGTAATACTAGATATATGTGTCTCTTGTTTCTTGCTCACCCTGCGACAATCGGCAATCAGACCCAGCAAAGGAAGATACACCATGATGATCTATGATGATAATTTACCCACATGGACAGCTGTCCCAACTCGCAGCTAGTTCGTCATCAAACTCTGCTTGCAATGACTTGCTCCAGTCCCAGAATCGTACCAAGGGCAAGTTTATTTCACACATCGCCGAGGGGCAAAAGTGTAGCTTCATCCGAGCGATATCTGGAGGATGCCAATTCGATGGCTCGACGCCAGATGAGCATGCCTTAACAAGCATTATGCAGCATCAATGGATGATTTCGTGGAAATTGGGCGGGAAGCATGCTGTTTTGTCATCAAATAGCTGGGCTTCCTGAAAATTGTCCCTAGACTGGTGAAGTTTCGAACTCGGGTAGTCACGTTTTTTCCCAATCTTCCCTCGGCAATTCATAAGGTTTCCATACATTTCCCAATGCTCAAATAGGATTCTCAATAAGCCAGTTGGTGGCTGCAACCCTGAAAAATCCTGGCCAATTTATAGTTTATATATCATCATCCCAAATAGTCCAGCAAGGAATAACATGAAACCACCAACCAGTGATCCATAATCCAGCTCCCATTTTCCGGCAAACCCTTGGATCCCATTATATTCCACTGTGTCACTATGTGCATCCCTGCAAAATCCCATGAAAATCATAAAATGGTCCGTAGATGCGCAAACTGACAGTTAAACCCCCATTGTGGATATGTATCGCATTACAATTAAACAGTTAAACCATGTTAGACCCCCATCTATATCCATTTCAGTTGGGATCATTCAATCTTCACAGCTGGCCATTGCCAAGCAACCAGTGCCTGGGTGCTTGTACAAAGGCGTCTGCATCTGCGCCTGCATTTGAACCAACGAGCTTGAACAGACATCATATGAAATGCACCCATGTACATATGCATTCATAGATGCACATAGCAATTTATTCAAATACTTGAATGCGCATGCATTTGTGTATGTGTGTGTGTGTGTGGGTGGGTGGGTGGGTGGGTGGGTGCGTACATGTGCACATGTATATGAATATAAGCTCTATTCATCTATTTTGCTATTTGCACTTATGTTCATATGTATTGTATATAATCATATACTCATATATATATATAGATAGATAGATTAATATGTATGTTATCTGTGCGTCTATTTCTATTCTATGTATACCATGCGACTCGACGTATTGAAAGTTCTCGAAAGGACCAGCTTCGCCCTGGCGCCTCCAGCTTGTACTGGGTCTCCGCCGGGTTCATGTCAAGCCCGTCGTTGTACTCGTCCTCGGCACCAAGATCAAAGGGGGGAAAAACCTGCCAGGGGATGGTTGAAATCCCACCCGCTTCTGGTAAAATTGGGGGTCTATTCATGTTTTTTGGGTTTTTGTGGGCGGTGGGTTTACCCTCTGGTAAACTAACAGTTAAACTAACATAGCAATGGAAAATCCAACCATTTTTAATGGGAAAATCACCATGTTTAATGGAAAATCACCATTTTTAATGGGAAAATAGCAGAGGGTACCACATCACAGGGGTTTGTCCAGCCTTTATCATAGTTTCTCCGTTTCTCATTCTGAAATCGGGCACCCAAACCTCCGTGGTCTGGGACTTCCGTGGGGGCAA